GTTTAATGAGTGTGGAACCCAATTTTCGAGTTTTTTCACTTTTCCAATCGCCTTGAGGTGGTCAGCGACGGTCGTTTTACTGACTTTGAGTTGCTCTGCACCCACCACTGATCGCAGAACATCATCATTAAGAGAGGAAGGCCTTCCACGACCTTCTTCATCTTCAAGGCTGAAATCTCCCTCCCGAAATTTTTTAAACCACCTTTGCACAGTGCACTCATTAACACAACCCTCGCCCCAGACTTGGTTAATGTTTCTAGCCGTTTGGGCTCCGCTTCGGCCGAGTTTAAACTCGTAAAAGAAAATCGTACGAAATTCTCGCTTTGACATTATAAGGATGACTGAATTATTTCCAAGTAGCGGAGTGCTACAGAGGTAAACAAACAATATCATTTGGAAGAGGATTAATAAGTGTTGACATTCATACAAATGAGTAATCCTGTAAACGTAAACAGAATATTTTATATAGATTTTTTTTAATGAAAACTTAAAATCCTGCATTATTTTCCGGACAACCCAATAAAAGCTATCGAACCTTATAAACAAAAAACTTTTATAAAACTATATTTTTCAAGCAAACTAGGTCTTATTATTTTGTTTATTATTTATTTATTTTTATTTTTTTGTGCAAAACGAATGTGAAATTTCGTTTTATACACAGCAAATTTTAGTGTTTAAAAATCAATAAATTTAAATTCAAACGAAAATAGTTTCTAGAGGTGCTACAACGAAATTTCATATTAGTTTCACGATGAAAAAAAATTATGACCTTGTTTATTATTTGAAAAATATTTCCTTTGTAGAATTTGTTTGGTAATTGATAACACTTTAACTTTAATAGCTTTTACTATATTTTTTATTGCAATCTACATAAAAAATGTTATGTTCACATACTTGATTTGAGCAAACAGAAAGGCGAAATAAAAACATTTTTCAAAAAAAAATTTTTTGTGCGAAATCAGGGTACTCATAAGAAGTGGCGTGTAAGTCTCCGACATTTTGGAGTGTAGAATCACAAAAAACAAAAATTAACCTAAATCCGTGACTCACCAACCTGAACGTCCCCATGTTATGTATATGTATACAATATTAAGATTGTCTGCAATAAATTATATAAACCCCAGGTTCCTCCAGGAATCGGAATAGAGGACCCAAAGAGTCGCTGACGTGAGAAGAATTCTCATATATCGATTTACGCTATTGTAAACTATCTATCTCATTCCTTGTAAGAAAGGTCAATATGACCTAAATCTGCGAGTATCATAAATAAAGAGTTTAAATTCAATTCTATCTCTCTCTCTATATATTTTTTTTTCTCTCTCTCCTTATATATTTTTTTAAATAATAAATTTAAAATATTTACTTAGTCAACATCACATCATGTACGTTTTGATTACATTTTCTCTTTTTCATTATATACTTTTACATTAGCTTCTAAAACGTTAATAATCATTTTATTAGAGTTTTATTTCATTTTTAAATCGTAAAATTATGTTCCAATTCTAGAAATTTTTAAGAATCTTATGAAAAAATGTATACATCTAATTTTGCTTATATAACTTGTATTATATTTACTGATTTATTGTTAACAGTACTTAGCTAAAGTCGATTTAAGTTTAACTTACTCTCACTTTATTCATTTACTTCATTGTTGGTTTTACAATAATTTTTTATTTCTATTTTATGTCTGATGCGACTTTAAACAAATATTATAAATGCAATTACACGTTAAATGTTAAAAAGCTCATGGAGGCCTAACTTTTCGTGAATTTTAATAAATAAATATTTAATCAATCTCCCTATATTCGTGTCACTAGAAATTTATGTTCGTAAACTACTGTCCTTACACCCCCAACCGTTTAAACAGTGTTTCCTTTATATTTTTTGAAATTTCCTATAATTGATAACCGGTCTTTGAAATAAAAATTTCAATAGCGCAATATAACGAATGAAAAGAAATTATTCATTTCAAAATCTACGCCTAAAAGTTTTACGCAATGAATGAAATGTTAAATTACTAAAATATTCTTTGCTCTTTCTTAAAAATAATTCTCATTTACCCGAATCGCGTAAAATGGTTTCGATTTCAATACGTAATAATGAAAAGAAAGCGTTCTGAAGCCGCCTCTCGAAAATTGCGTGTTTGTTTTCTAATGGAAAAAATACTAGTTTTAGGCCCTTCAGCTGAATAATTAAAGGAGTAAGGAACGGGAGAGCAGAGGATAACGCAATTAGGATTAATCAAGTTTATATTCGGGGCGTGAAAGTGGGCATTTTCAATCATCATGTTCTCTGCGTCAAGGGCCTCTCCCAGCCGACTTTCGTCTAACCACTTCACTTATATATGAATTCTGATAGTTTTGATTATGTTTCAGCGTGGTATATTATAATAATAAATATTAAAAAAAAAAGAAAGAAATATGAAATAACGTAACGGTAAAAATATAAGGAAAAGGAAGGAACAATAAGGGAACTTACCCTTCTAGCTCTAGACAGGCGTTGAGGGACTGTAGGACTTCGGGCCTGAATCCCATTGCCCCCTTTGTTGCTTCGAAGTGCGGTATACCGAGGAGGGTGGTCAACAGAGAGAGAGAGAGAGAGAGAGAGAGAGAGAGAGAGAGAGAGAGAGAGAGAGAGAGAGAGAGAGAGAAATATAAAGAGAGAGAAAGAGGTAGGTAGAGAAACGAGAGAATAGCTCACATAGCGCCACGTCACAGCAACAGCCTCAAGAGGACGAATACGAAATTCTTCCTGTCCTGGCGGAAGCAAAAGTAAAAACAATTAGGAAGTTGCTGAACAAAGTTCATATGAAATTCTTAACTCCTGAAAGATGCCCCCAGCAACATCTCTGGGCATTAACTGATGGTTTTTCTTTTTGAACCTAGAGCGACGTTAAATTTGCGCTAAACAAGTCAGTTATAGGACTTAATTACATGTCAGTACTGTACAGTTGTCTATGATATGTCATAACTTTAATATTGTCTGTATATTCAATTTTGTTTCATAAAACGAATGTCAGCTATGAATAATAAACAATAATGAGGTCAATCAATAAAATTATTATAAATGAACGTTAAAATCATAAACGCAAGATTCTGAGAACAAGGGAAATGAAAGGGCCGTCTGCTTTGCTAAAAAGGTATATTGCCTTCTCCACCCCCACCTGCGATTCTTCATTCTTAGAGCTTTGCAAAGCAAATAATTAAAGACCGGGGAAGAAACGAATTCCTCAGAGAATTGGAATTTATTACCTTCCAGGCAGGCAATTGAAAGATTTATTACTACGATCAACCTGAAGCATGCTGCGGGGTTTATAGTCAATGTTTCCTGATTAAATCATAAGGAATCAAAACGGGCATAGGCTGAAAGATATGTCACCTATACGCGTTGCCTTTAAAACATGGTTTGAACGAAAAATAACACTGGGTTTACCTCATCAATTACTGAACTACATTGATAAAGGTTTTTTTTTTTTTTTTTATATATATATATATATTTATTTTATTTATTCCTATCTGTACATAACATACATTGAGCAAATAGTTAGTTATAAACTAGTCCGACAGACCTGTCAGACCAAAAGGCAGTGAGGAGAGAAACCAACTTTTATTTAATTGGGGGGGGGGGGGAGTAAAAGTTAATTTGGTGGGTTAGATAGAAGGTCACGAGGCCATCGTCGTTTTAAACGGCGTGGAGGATTGTAAGGGTGAGATGTTGAGGAAAGAGTTAGGGCTAAAGGGTTAGGATGGAGGGAGAGTTTAGAGTGAAAAGTGAAGAAGCGTGTATGGATAAGATCTTTCACGAAAGGGATTTTAAGATCTTTGTGGATCGTTTGATTTGTGACGTAGAAGGGAGCATTGAGGATACGGCGGAGAACTTTAGATTGAAAAGACTGAATTCGTTGGATATTGGATGATTTGGCCGAGCCCCACAGCTCGACTCCGTAGGTCCAAATAGGTCTGATGAGTGTTTTGTAAGCGGTTAGTTTGTTATGTATGCTTAGTTTTGATTTTGGTCCAAGAAGGTGTCTGAGTAGTCCATATCTTTTGTTAAGTTCTTGCCGTTTTAATCGTGTATGTGGGTTCCAAGTAAGTCTACTATCTAAGTAAAGCCCAAGGTAGCGGACTTGGTTCGATGGTGGTATTATTTTGTTGTAAATGTGCACTGGTGGACAGGTTTGTCGTTTGAGCGTAAATGTAACGTGTTGGCTTTTTTGTTCGTTTAACCTGATCCGCCACAGATTGCACCAGTTGGTAATAAGGTTCAGGTGTTGTTGGAGTGCTTCTGTTGCTAGGATAGGATTGGAGTGTGTTGATAAGATTGCGGTGTCGTCCGCGTAGGCTGTGATTTGTGTGTTCGGATGAATGGGTATGTCAGCAGTGTAGATGGTGTAGAGGATTGGGCCTAGGATACTTCCTTGTGGAACGCCAGCTTTGATTGGTGTGATAGGTGAAAACTCGGTGCCGATTCTTACTTTAAACCATCGATCTGAGAGGAAGGATTTCACGATAAGGTAGTAGGTCTGAGGGAGGATACCTTTTAACTTATAGAGGAGCCCGGGGTGCCATACTCGGTCAAACGCTTCCGTGACGTCCAGAAATACGGCTGAGTATTGTTTGTTTTCTAGAGCCGAAGATATCGTGTCGACTACTCTGAAGCACTGCTGAACAGTAGAATGGAGAGGTCGAAACCCAAATTGATGGTTCGGAATTACGTTTTCAGAGTCAAATATAGGAATAAATCTTTTAAGGAGGATACGTTCAAAAATTTTGGATAAAATAGGAAGGAGGCTTATTGGTCTATAAGAGGATGGGGCACTGGGGGATTTGTGTGGTTTTGGTATTGGAGTTACTAAAGAAAGTTTCCACTGGATAGGGAAATAGGTTGTGCGAAATATTGCATTGTTTTTAAACCATAAATCATGTGTTTCTATTATTATTTATAAAGATATGAAAATCGCTAACGGTAATGTACTGAGTTTTAGTTAGTTTAAAACTTACCTTAATTTTCTCCGGCCTGTCTTGTCCTGACGGCAACTGGAAAAAAATTGAACCAAGTTAGCTTTTACAGATCAAAACACTGAAATAATGATTCATTTTATGAATGTTTTCTGACACTAAGCCCATCAATGCCGGCGTTACCCGAGTGCCCAAGGAACTATCCTAGGACTTCCTAGGACCCCAATCCCCTCCTCACATTCTGACCACATCCTTGGAGTAAATCCAACCCAGGACTCACCTCATTACCGACCGGTGCACTTGTAGGCGTTTCAAGCTAAATGACAAAAGCACCAAAGCCCCTATCTCGAGTTCTACCGGGACAGGAGACTTACATGGAATATCACATAAAGCAAAAAAGACAAGATCTAAACCGAAGGACGGACAGCTCAGTCGCCTACTTGGTTCCAAATCCACAACGAGTACACAACGAACTAACAATCAACATACAAGACCGATTTGTACTTAAGGAGCTGTGGGGTTCGGCCAAACTATCCAACATACAAAGAATCCAATCCATTCAATCAAAAATCCTCAACGCTACCTTCTGTGTCATTAATCAAACCAACAAAGACCTAGACATGTCATTCGTGACGGACATGATCCAAACACGATTCCACAATTTCCACACTATGCTCCCCTTCCATTAGTTCAAGCCCTCTCTTCCAAGTCCCACCCTTGCCATCCTCTACGCCGCGTAAAAGGACGGTGGCCTGGTGACCTAAGACAACCCTAAATCTCAAACATTGAGAGAGTTCCAGTAATGGCCGGTTTCTTTCCCAGATCCTCATCCCAGCAGTCTGATAGGTTCCTGCCAGATCTTTTATTGATATTTAACATCAAATTGTTAACTGAGTAAATTTTGGTACAAAAAAAAACCCAACAACAATAATAATAAAAATGTATGAAAAAAACAAAATTAAAGGTTAGAGAATACAAAACTTGATATGGCTTTTGTTATACAGCAAGCTACCCCGTTTTTCTTTTTTGACAGTTGAGCAGATAATATTGCAGGAACTAATTATTGTTTTATTTCCACCCATAATCGTGTTATTACCTTAAAAAATCAAAAGAACCAGTGTTAGATGCAAGCTTAAACAAAGTAAAGTAATAAGAAAAATCTGATACGGTGAGTGAGAGGGTGTGCCATTGATAATTTGATAAGTTTGGAGACGACTTCTCTGTAAACTCAAAGCGTATCGTCAAGCAGGTGACTTTAAACCATAGGGAAATGCAATTTAGAAAACATTTCTCCGTCTCGACACTCGGAGCTGATTAATAAGAAAGGGACGATTTATGTTGTTGCGCGTTACTGTTTCTGATTTGCTTGATGCTTCTTAGACATAACGATCATTTCTCAGAAAACTAATGAAGAAGGATGAAAAGTGGATTCAGCATGTTAATACCGTTCGGCATGGATCGTGGTGAATGGCAAATGAACCGCCATTAATCGTGACCGAGGGCGGATTTCGCCCAAAGAAGATCAACCATTTGGTCGGATTATAAGAGATTTCTTTACTATCTACTGCTTCCTAAGAAAGAAAAACGCTAAATTTTATCGAAGTATGCCACGAGCCTTCATATATTTTTTGTTAACTCAATTATTTTCAGCTTAATCTTGAGTTAAACAAAAAAATTTAATATAACACTTTATTGTAAAAATTAAATTTGACAAAAAATTAGGAAAATAATAGTGTATATGTAGCAGAATAGGAAAGAGTGAATGTATCAAAAATCAAAACAACCAATATAAGTGCATATATAATGGAAATAAATGTTTTTATTTTATGTTTAATAAAAATATTTATTTCCAGTATATATGCACTTATATTGGTTGTATATTTTGATTTTTGATACTTTCACTCTTTCCTATTCTGCTATATATAAACTATTATTATTTTCCTAATGCTTTGTCAAATTTAATTTTTACAATAAAGTGTTATATTAAATTTGTTTGTTTAAATCAAGATCAAGCTGAAAAAAATTGAGTTAAATATTTTTATTAAACATAAAATAAAACCATTTTCTTTATCGTGCCAACGTTTCTATCTTTATTGAGATTATCTTCAGGGCCTGAGATTTACAAACATTGGATTTGTAAATCTCAGGCCCTGAAGATGATCTCAATGAAGATCGAAACGTTGGCACGATAAAGAAAATGTTTTTCTGAAACCTACATCGCACCAGACCGCATCCACAATTTCTGAATAATCACCGGCTAACGGTCACTAATCACCACACATAAAATAAAAACAAATTAACACAATTTTTTAACGTCGCAGAGCTCATCTGTAAGCATTGTATATTCTTATGAGACATTTTGTGAGAAGAATGGATCTGATTGTTGTTACCAACTAATAAATGTTTATATTTATGTCAGTACGATGTTCTTGGGTTGATGCTCTCCTTGGGTTCGATATCACGCTTTTGAACCTTGCAAAAGAGATTACACTAAGAAAAGTTCTAAAAAATGAAAAAGTGAGTAGGAATGCTTATAAAATTAAAAATATTGCAACTTTGGTGAAATTCCCGAAAATGGTGATGGAAAAATCATTACACGAGCCCCAGTTGAGTATTTCCAAAAAAAACCCGCAAGTTTTGCCATTTCTTATTTTTTGAGCGGCTACTGTTAATTCGCAAGAATGGAAAATTTAATGTGGCTTGCGAAATAAAGGCCACATTTGTATTTTAATGACGCTAAAATGTGAGGTGATTAGTGACCGTTAGTCAAGGATTATTCAGAAATCGTGAGATGCGGTCTTCTCACGTATTTCAGAATAATCATTGACTAACTGTCACTAATCACCACACATAAAAAAAAGAAATTAACACAATTTTTTTAACGTCGCAGAGCTCATCTGTAAACATTGTATATTCTTGTAACTGGTTATAACCTGGAAATAAATAAAGCGATCGGTGAAAAGTTGGCATTCGGCGTGTAGGGAATTTAAGAACTACCACCCTTTATTTCATACTTTCGATCAGCAAGTGAGGAAGTCCAATCACTACTACATATCGCATTATTAACTAATTTTTTATTTTTACTATTTTTAAAATATTTTACTATTATTAAAATATTTATATTTAAAAATAAATTATTGCATTTTTTTTAATGTCTATTACTGAACGCCGCACAGAACATGGTGGGAGCACAAGTCTCAAAGAACTTTTGAAAGTGCTTGCAGCGGAACTAGAAATTGATTGAATACCTGAAACGCATAAAACGTGATCGCAATTGAAGTCCCTTTCACGGGTCATCATTTCTCATTAAGTGAGTGTATTTATTATCGTGAGTGTTTTGAGTATGAGTAGATTTATGACGGATATAGAGTACACAACAGGCCCTGTTTTGTGCAGCACTAAATTAGGTAGGTTATTACATTTATAGAATGATTGGGCGAGATACCGGTGTAATATGAAATACCCCAATGACTCGATAACTTTTTAACTGTATATACTGTGGTTGTATGATGGTATTTATTAGCGTGAATGAGGACGGGATCTCAGGGAATGTTGTATACCCTGAGTACCACCTAACTTTGATTAGCTATACGTTAGCATGCTATAAATATGTTGCTTAAGCCTTACCGCGGAGGGGGCTAAATATAATTTAAAAAAACATCGTCCCACAATATCCATTGGAAGGACAAAAATTTATCACAGCGATATTTTTCCTCACTCTGTCATTTAAATATTCGTTTTACATTTTCATCTTAACACATATTTAATTGGGAACATTAGATGTTTTTCTATTGTCACTACATGGAGGCAATTTTAGATAACCTTGAACTTTATTTGGCCATCACAGCTTTTCCATTTTTCCACATTTTTCTGTTATATGAAATTATTTGAGTGAGAGATTAAAACGGTAGGCATTTTATGAAGATTTTAATCTATAAACAAAATTGAACAACAAAACAAAAGTAAAATATTGACATTTTCAGGAAAGGTGAAGGGTTGTGCAGAAACGTTCTAATTGATTATTCAAAAAGAGCAAGGTACACAGAATTAACCTTAAACAAAAACAATAAATTGACATATTTCGTTTAACAAAGCCTTCAATTCGGAACCAAAAAATCATATAATCTGAAACAGAATAACTTAATCAATCGGGGCCTCCCCCTGGAAATGCACCTATCAGCAATTCCACGTTTCGACGATAATTAAAGATGCCCTTTTTGTTAAAGATAAACTTCCTTAATTTCCCAGAAGGCGTTGAGTGGTTAGAAACTCGTAAAGAAACAGGGGAGGAACTTAATTATGTCCTCCCTTTGATAATTTATGGGAGGTTGCAATTAACTCTTACACGTTACAACACGTGCAGGTGAGAGGGTAAGATAATGCAATGACAGCAGAACTTGAGAGCTGTCAGCAAATCTGTCTGTCTGACTATCTTTCTTATTCTCTCTCTTTCTCTCCATATATTTTCTCATCCTTTCAATTATGTGTGTACGATATTTTTATTTACTTGAAAAGTAGAGAAAGAAAACTGTGTTTTGGAATGCCTGAACTATATAAATAAAATGGTATGAATAGATATTCTACTTCTTTTATTTCAAAAGTCTCGGTTTGTATCAATTTAAGATTAGATAGAGAAAAGCGTTGCCCCTATAAATACTCAATATCATATCAGCTTCTCTTTTTAGGTGGGTCTTGAAAAGTTTTAAAAACACTTTTATGAGATCCATCGAAAAGTTGCCGCGACTTCGGCTCGGGGGGCCGGTTTAGAAACTGAGGGAAGTCTTCGTCCAGGGGGTTGAGTGATAAGGGGAGAGATATCCGAGTTGGAAAGAAGAGAATTCGTGATATTATATGGAGGGACTTAGGGTGAGGGGTGTATTCTCAGTCGCGATTCGCCTTCCCGTCCTCCACCATAAAACTTAATTAAGTTACAAGTCCAACTTTGCCACCAAATCTCGGAAGGCCGTGGAATTTCGGCAGGTCGCGATGGGTTATTCAATTCAATTTATTGTTCCTATCAGCCGACTCGTACGAGCCTGTCTCGTTTTCAAATGGATCTTGGTAATACATTTACTAAC